ACTATAGCAACGCTTGATGAGTGGTTGCGCCCTTCCTATATCATTAACCCCCTAAATTCGGAAAGACTTATTTGCGATAAAACTAGTCGATCAGCGGTGCAGTCGGCAGTTCCGTGCCTTCCCCCTTGAGTTGTCCGCTCAAGGTTACCAGTCTAAAACCTCATAAAAACCTTACTCTGTTTAAATTGCGCATGCATCATGGTCAAACCTAGTCGGGTCAGTTATGTTGTCCACATAATGATCCTTTAAGATAGCCTTGTCCAAAGTCCAATGGGTTTCCCTAAATCCAAACGGACATCATCGAATAATAGAGAATAATAAATCGTTCCTGTATGCTCTCGGTGCACGATAAGCCAAGGCAGGCTAACGTGCACCTATGGCAAGGAAGAGAAGACAAGCTATGCCGGCGACTGTCACGCCGGTGACATCAGGGACAACAACCCTTACTCCGTTAACGTTTGGGAGCTTCTTGCCAACTGGTTTCTAGCTAATTGCAGAGGAGACTGAGCTAGATGAGAAAGAGGGTATGAACAGTAAGCAAGGACCATCTACCTACGAGTCCTAAGCGGCTTCAATTCTCAGAAGCTGGGTCATCAAGAGTAGATCTCGATCTGGGAAATGCAGAGAAGATCAAGGAAAGAATGGAACATGCAAAAGATGTACGAATGCAGAATAGGAAATCACAAATGGGGCTGAAGTTGGAGTATATACCACCGAGCCACAGAGAAGCTAAGCTAGTAATACAAATTGAAGAAGAAGATGTGAATGAGTTAAATGAGTATTGGGACAATGCTGTAATTGGGTATGTACTTGGGGATACACCATATGAGAAATCGATGATAAATTACATTGAAACAATCTGGGACTTTGTAGATAAACCTCAAGTATTATATCATCAAGAGGGATATTATGTCTTCAGATTTGGGAAAAGGGAGGATAAGGAGGCTGTAATGCAGGCAGGGCCATATACCTATCATAATAAACCACTAATTTTGCAAAACTGGGAAAGAGATTTTCACTTTGATCCTAAGTGTATTACGACTATACCATTATGGATACAATTGCCTAACTTATCAGTTGGATACTGGACAACAGATGCATTAAGTAAGGTGGCAAGTGCTGTGGGAATGCCTATGTATACAGACAGATACGCAGGTGAATTAGGGAAGATTTCTTTTGCAAGAATACTTTGTGAAAGTGGACATTACAAAACCCTTGGTGGAGACAGTTGAAATCATTACTCCAACTTGTGTAAAGCAACAGGAAATAGTGTATGAATGGAGGCCAAAATTTCGCTCTGAGTGCTTGCACTTTGGGCATGAATTGATTGAATGCTGGAAGATGAATAAGAAAGAGGATAATGAAGAATTCCAATTGCCTAGAAGAAGAAATAGAGGAAGAAGGAACATAATCATACAAGAGTGGAAACCAAAGGAACAACAAGCACAAGAGGAGACAAATGAAATGGCCAATGTGGTACAGGAGCAGGTGGAGAATAAACAGCAACCACATCACAGTCTAGCAGACCAAAGAGGAAAAAAGGTGATAAATACAAAGGAAAATGAAAAACAGGCTTACTCCCTGAGCAACCAGAGAAAAAGTGAAGAAGCAAATAGATTTGCAGTGCTGAAAGAAATGTCACATGAAGATGAACAGGGAGGAGGAATGGTGCAGGAGAGGGTACAACAACCACCATGATAATAAGCACATAGAATATAAGAGGGCTTAACAAGCCCAATAAGCAAAAAAAGCTGAGAATCTTTTTGCAAAATAATAAGATTGATGTCTTAGGATGTCTGGAAACTAGAGTTAAAGAAAAAAAGTCAAAAAAAATTCTGTACAAAATAGCAAATGACTGGGGATGCAGATGCAATTATGAGCAGGCAGAAAATGGTAGAATATGGGTGATTTGGAAACAAAACCTATCAGTGGATGTAGTGCAAGTTCATGAGCAATGTATCCACTGTAAGGTAATTGATGCAACAAATGGAAGGCAGATCATGCTGTCAGTGGTATATGCAAGGAACAAAGCTCAAGAGAGAACTAGATTATGGAAAGAACTGGAAGCAATGGGGGGCGTGATTCAAATGCCATGGATCATAAGTGGTGTTGTTCAGATGATAGACTGGGCCAACCAGTCACTATGACTGAGATAAAGGATTTTAAAGAATGTATTGATACACTGCAACTATCTCCTGTGAAGACAAAAGGTTGTTTTTACACTTGGTGCAACAAACAACAAGCAACTGAAAGAGTATACAGCAGAATAGATTGGGTACTTGGAAACTTTAAGTGGATCAGAGACTATGGACATGTGGAAGCCGATTGTTTAGAACTTGGAATATCTGATCATTCCCCTATAGTGATCCAGATATGGCAAAGGTAGAATATGTATAACAGACCTTTTAAAATGTACATGGTAATAATGGAGCATAGAGAGTTCAAACCTATGGTTGTGGATGTATGGAAGCAGAGAAAGAACTGTGACCCCATGGAAAGAATATGGAGGAAACTACAGAATTTGAAGATGAAGTCAAAAGATTTGAACAAGGAAATGATGAGCTATGAGAGAAGGCTGAATCAAACAAGACAAAAATTAGAATATGTTCAGAAGAGTCTGAGGATAAATCCATTATGTCAAGTCTTGATTGAGGAAGAAAAAGTGGTACTGCAGGAGTTAGAGAAGTGGAGCACAGTTGAGGAAAAGATATTGAGGCAAAGGTCGAGAGTAAATTGGATAGATTGTGGAGACTCAAACTCAAAGTATTTCTATGCTCAATTGAAGATGAGAGCAAGTAGGAATGCTATATCTTCTGTATACAATGCAGGAGGGATAAGAGTCACAGAACCAATAGAAATAGAGAAGGAATTTGTTAAATTCTTCAAGCAGCTCATGGGGACAGACACTGGGCTCAAACCTTGCCCAAATGCAGAGATCATCAAAGAAGTAGTGTGTTTGTCAATGAACCAACAGGTGGAGTTAATCAAGGAAGTAACACATGAGGAAATAGATGAAGCAATCAAGGATATGCCAAATGATAAAGCACCAGGAGTGGATGGATTTCCAGTTGAATTTTTTAAGCTACATTGGCAAGAAGTCAGAAATGATGTAAATGAGGCAGTGGACTACTTCTTCAGAACAAGTAAAATGCAGAAAGCTTGGAATTGCACTGCAATCACACTGATTCCCAAAGGTTCAANGTACATGTGTTCATAACATTATCAAGCCTCTGAGGGCATCCCATCATATCATCTCGGCCACTGTGGACAAAATCATCAACGTATACCAGCTGATCAGGTGGTGGCGCGTATATAACGCCATAACCTTTCCCATATCCCATATATATATATATATATATATATANTAGTTTAAATATGTTTGCTTGATTACTGATGATAAACCATGATTGCACTTGCAGTTGCCCCAGTGGCCATGAGTACTTATTAAAATCAGGGACTACATTTTGTATGCAACTTTTCGATGATGCCAAAAGGGGGAAGAAATTTGTGCTTTACACACATTCTGAATAAGTGATATTTATAACCTAATTAACCTGGTCCTTGATGATGAGTAAATTTTCTACACTTTGTTTTGATGGTTGATCTGAGTTCTTACAGGATCCAAGTAAGTAAAAAGCACAGAGTTTGTCATCATCAAAAAGGGGGAATTTGTTGGCCCAAGAACAGGTAAAGTTTTGAAGATTGACAAAAGAACTCAGACATAGACCAGGTCCATCTTGTAAAGCACAGTCATGATCAACCTGTACATGTGAGATGCACGTGAAGGAGATAAATCTAACTGATCAAGAAGTGATATCTCCTGATCTGATCGAAAAGGTTGCATATTGGATAAGTAGAGAAAGACTCCTTACATGAAGAGAACATAGTTTAGGAAGAAGATAGTGTTAGAGTTTGAGATCACTATGAACTCTTCTACGATAGAAGAGTAGCAATTGAATCCCAGTCAAACTCTGATTACTAACCTATTAAATGTCAGTGTTGTTCTCTTTTACAAATAATGCACACAAGGAGGAAGCCATTGTTATATGCTCTCGGCGCACGATAAGCCAAGGTAGGCTAACGTGCACCTATGGCAAGGAAGAGAAGACAAGCTATGCCGGCGACTGTCACACCGGTGACATCAGGGACAACAACCCTTACTCTGTTAACGTTTGGGAGCTTCTTGCCAACTGGTTTCCAGCCAATTGCAGAGGAGACTGACCTAGATGAGAAAGAGGGTATGAACAGTAAGCAATGGAACAGTGATTCTGGAAAAAATATGAGTGAAGCTGTGAAGAGCAAGGACCATCTACCTACGAGTCCTAAGCGGCTTCAATTCTCAGAAGCTGGGTCATCAAGAGTAGATCTAGATCTGGGAAATGCAGAGAAGATGAAGGAAAGAATGGAACATGCAAAAGATGTACGAACGCAGAATTGGAAATCACANACTGGATATACAAAGGGCAGCCTGCCTTTTAAATATTTGGGAGTGCCATTGTCGACCAGGAAGCCGAATATAAACCAATGTCTACCTTTGGTTGAGAACATCATTGATAGAGTGAGATGCTGGTCTGCTAGGATGTTATCATATGCTGGAAGACTACAACTGAACAATCAGTGCTATTTGGTAGTGCAAACTATACTAGGCTCAAATATTCTTGATTCCAAAGAAGATTATAAAAATGGTGGAGGCTGTCTGCAGGACTTTCCTGTGGACTGGATCAACTGAAATATCTCGGAAAGCCCTTATAGCATGGGACAAAATTTGCCAACCTAAAAGTATAGGGGGATTGAATGTGATCAACATGAGAACCTGGAATAAAGCTGCAGTGATGAAACACTTATGGGCATTGGCTATGAAGAAGGATACACTATGGATTAGATGGGCTCACATATACTACATAAAAAATAGAAGAATTGAAGAAATAGATACACCAAAAAATGCAGCAATGGAATGGTGAGGAAGATACGATTAGAAATGAAAGGAAGATGTACTGAAGATGAGGACAACAAACAGACATGCATCGATTCTGAGAGAGTTTGAGAAACAAGGCAAGTTCCAGATCAACAAGGCATATGTGCAACTTCAACCTCAATTCAGTAAAGTGAAATGGAAGAGTATTCATATGACATTTCACAAAGTTCATCCAAGGTTTAAATTCCATCTATGGTTAGCCATCAATCAGAGACTAGCAACAGTCGACAGACTTGCAAAGTTTGGATTACAAGTGCAGGCAGAATGTGTGTTCTGTGGACAGCATGAGGAAAACTTTGAGCATCTGTTTTTTAAATGTCAGTATACAAAAACATTGTGGGAAAGAATGCTCAATTGGTTAGGATACAGAAGGCAGATTCAAAACTGGGAACAGGAAGTGAGCTGGATAAGTAGTGTGGCAAAGAAGAAAGATTGTGTTGCAGAAATGACCATGGCAGTCTTTGCAATGGTTGTCTACTGCATATGGAGAGAACGGAATATGATCAGATTTGAGAAAGGAAGATATGATGCTGATAGAGTGTGCAAGGAAATTGCAATGCATATACATATTCAAGGACGAAAGAAGATCAAATTGAGTCAAGGATTGGCAACTGTGAATAAAATGCCGTAGTATAGAAGTAGAAATAAATTAGTATAGATATACTTATTTTTTTAATTGCAATTGATATGAGAGATTAACGGTCAGCGTTAATCTAGTTTTGTAATGACTTTTTGATGGAATAAAAGTTTAAAATTTCGTAAAAAAAAAATGAAGATGTAGACTTAAGCTTTATGTCACATTGGATATTGGTACATTGGTTCTCTTGTGTTAATTTACATTTATCCGATAGTTACTTATCCAAAAAAATTACATTTATCCAAGCGTTTGACAAGATCATCCGTTATTTCCTCAAGGCGTAGCAACAACTGAGAAAGGACATATTCTAGACAAATAGGCTATATGGTGTCTTGCAAGCTAGGCATACCCTGCAGTTTCAAAAGCTTGGAAGCCTATAGTGTAGTCTATTTTTCAATAGCCTCGGGATTTAGGATGGACCAAGAATTCTTGATGTTGCAGTTGCATAGTAAGAGGTTGATAGCTATGGTAGTGTTTTTTTTCCACGATAATTCATAGTACTAACATATGGGAGAATAAGAATATACACATCTTTAGAATTTCTACGAATAGAGTAATTTATGGAAGTTGTGTACTTGCTCGTTTCGCTTTTGTCGTATAGATCATGCCAAAAAGAAAGAAGGGATAGCCTTAACATACCTGAGTCGATTCTCTTGAGAAAGATTACACCGTACTCCGTTAATATTGCAAAATCTCACGTTAATTTGAAAGCTTGGGCGCAGCTTATAGGTTATATAATATGCATTTGCATTTCAGAATGGATGAACGTGCTTTTTATGCAAAAGAATCTTGCTGGACTCCTTAAGTTGAAACATAATTTCCTAGAATTTGATGGACTCCTTCAGAAGAGGGGTAACGAATGAATTCTAATTTTCTTAGATTGTTATCTTTGGTTAAGGTGGGTCCCTCATTGAAGTGTCACCTTAAAGTGTGACACCTTACCCATTCTTATTATTAGTCATCTAGGGAGCTTAGGAATCTTGCCACGTTATGGGGGGGGGGGGGTAATTTAATTATTATCCACTAATTTATTAATTAACTAGGTAATATCCCGTTACCCGATAATTAACCAATTACCCGTATAATTATGAATTATCTCAAGTTACCTAAAAATACTACTCATTTTTAATATACTTTATACATTATACTACCGTGGTCATATGGTACCTTGCATGGTACTAGTTCATAATTATCGAGTATTATCGCTCGACTCGTATTTTATCCTAAATTGGCCACTTTCAACGAAACTCATTTTCTTTAATTCGTGTACCCTTTATCCTTCATGACACTTACTTATCGCTTGTTATAAATAGCGTAAATATGTTAATCTCAAGATAATTTCATCCTTGGACTGATGCCAATTATCTTACGACAAATTCAACGTACAATACTACAACTGCAACATCATTGTAATTTAATACTGCGAAGCATAACATCATCGTAATGTAATACTCCGGGACGTAATATCGACGTAACATCACGGGGTGTAACATGCTAGTCATTCTGCGTTTGCGGGTTCTTAGCCGCTTCTACAGTCCCGCATTTGTGGTCACAAGCTCGCATCTGCGAGTTCCCTCCATCTGCTGACTTACCGCATCTGTGGTATACCCTGCACATCTGCGGTCCTTAACTGCAGATGTGCTTTCGCTTCTGCTCCCAGCTAACCACATTTGCGGTCCTTGCCTTTCCCAGCCAACTCCGCACCTACGGCTCCGCATCTGCGGCCAAACCCACCATAGATGCGAAAACACCAAAACCCAACATCTTTAGCAACACAACCAAATCCGAAACAAGCTGAAACCAATCCGAGACACACCCGAGGCCCCTGGGACCCCATCTAACCATTCCAACTAATCCTAAAACATAACACGAATTGATCGAAGTCTAATGAACTAATGAACTCTCAACTTCCAAAAATCATGCCGAACCATATCAAATCAACTCTGGATGACCTCAAATTTTGCATGCAAGTCCCAAATGGCACAACGAACCTATTCCAACTCCTAGAATCAAAATTCAAATACCATATTAACAAAGTAAACTTTTGGTCAAACCTATTAACCTTACCTTCAACTTTCCAACTTTTGCCAAAAAGCACCAAACCAACCTACGAACCTCCAAATCCAAATTCGGACACACGCTTAAGTCCAAAATCACTGTACAAGTCTGTTGGAATCGTCAAAACACCATTCCAGAGTCGTCTACACAAAATTAAAACTCATGTCAACTCTCACAACTTAAGCTCCCAACATTGGGACTAAGTATCCTAATTCACTCCACAACCTCTCCGAAACCAAACTAACCACCCCAGCAAGTCACGTAACCATAAGTATACATATCACTACAAGAAAATAGGCCTTTAGGGAGGGGAACTATGGTTGTTAAAAGTCCAAATTTGATCGTTATAAGTTGTTAACGGCTAGGAAAAATCCGATCGTCACCGGTCGTTAAAAGCCCCGACGTTAAAAGTTAACGACCGAATTACAATCCAGTCATTAAAGATCCTTTAGCGACAACATAATTTCGGTCGTTATACATTTTTTTAATGTCAAGATTTTCCATTCGCTAATTTGTTATCTAGTCGTTAAAAGTCTTTAATAACAACAACTAATTTAGTCATAACAAGTGCTTTTAGTGACCGTCATTCCATTCATTAGTTGTACAACTACTTTTAAGAACCAAATTTAAATTACAAAAATTTAAATTAGATAAATTGAAATAATGATTTATATGATTTCATACACACCCAACAACAACTCCCCATATGTGCTTTAACTATTTTATGACTTGCATGGATGGTTAGTTCGTGATTTAGAAGGGTTCGGTTGAAATCGGAACACTTGGTTCCTTAATGTTGGCTACATAGGGCTAAATTTGACTTGAGTCAACAACATCGAAATCGGGATTCGGTTCCAATAGGTTCATATGATGATTTCAGACTTAGGGCGTATGTTCAAATCGGGTTTTGGAAGACCCGGAGCGTGTCTGCGCTTAATATTGAAAGTTGGCACATTAAAGGTTTTAAAGTTCTTTAAATTTGGTGTGGAGTAGTTTGATGTTATCGAGGTCGTTTGGGATTCTGAGCCTTGGAATAGTTTCATATGGTGATTTAAGACTTGCATGCAAAATTTGGTATCATTCTGAGTAGTTTAAGTATGATTCGGCGCGTTCGGAGCGAATTGGAAACTTGAAGTTCATAATTTGATTCAATTTAGTTTTGGGGTGCGATTCTTAGTTTCATAGTTGTTTTATGTGTTTTGAGAGTTTGAGCAGGTCCATGTTATGCTTATGGACTTGTTGCTGCATTTGGACGGGGTCCCGAGTGGCTCGGGTGTATTTTGTACCACCCGGAGCTAAGTTGGAGAAACCAGATTTTCCAGTTCTGGATTCCTTCTTCACGAACGCGGAAGGACCCTCGTATTCGCGATGAAGGATTTGGGCAGTGGGGCGATTTGTTCTTCGCATTCACGATCAAGCGGTCACGTTCGCGAAGCTTTGAGGTTCAAGGACTACACGTTCACGAAGGTCCTCTCGCGTTCGCGTAGAAGAAAGGGACCTGGGAGGGGTCAGTACCCATTGCCCTTCGCGTTCGCGATGCTCAGGCAGGCCAAGCATTTGCGATTACGAGACTGCCCTCACGTTTGCGATGAAGGTTTCTTGGGCCTGGGGGAGCTTTGCCTTCGCGATCATGGGGCCCCTTTCGCGACCGCGAAGAAGGATCACTGGGCAAAGACTTTATTAAAAACGGGACTTATGCCATTTTAAGCTCATTTATTACACTCTTGGCGGTTTTGGAGCTTTAAAGAGGGGGATTTCTACCTAACTATTGAAGGTAAGTAATTCCTACCCAATATAAGTTTAATACATAGATTATGAGTAGATTTTAACAAGTAAAATTGTAAAAATCATGGGTTTAGTTTAAAAATTTAGGCTTTGATAAAAATGGGGTTTAACCACGAAATGGTTATGGAATTGAGTGAAATTATATATTTGAGTTCGTGAGGTTATGGGTAACAACTTTCTTCGAAAATTTTCAGAATCCGGGCACGTGGACCCGGGGATGAATTTTAGGGACCTTTCAATTGGGATTGGGTAATCACGCTAGTAGTTAGAATATGAACTTTTTAACATGTATTGATTAAGTTATAGAACATTTGACTAATTTCGGATTGTTCAGCATCGAGTTGAGGCTTTAGAGTGAATTTGAGGCCGGAAAGTGAGCTTCGAGACGGGGTAAGTCTCTTGTCCAACCTTGTATGAGGAATTTATCCCATAGGTGATTTAAATTAATATTTGCTTCTAATTGTGGGGGCTAAATACACACGAGGTAACGAGAGTCCGTGCGTAGCTACTATTTATGCTTATGTTCGGGTAGTTTAGGACCCAAATCATGAATTACTTGTAATGTTGCACCCTACTTGTTAATTTAAGTGCCTAAATTATATTAGAACTTGTTAGAGGAATTATAAAAGACCGAATTTCACTTTCTTGAATTTAGAGCGGATTACTTGACCATTAATGAAAAATCTATTACATTGTGTATTAGCCGTGTAATAATGTTTAAGTCAAATGCTTATAATGTATCCTCATTTCTTATGGAGGGGGCCGAACGCCTCGGCAGTAGAATAGATGCATCTATGGATCGTGCCGCACATCCCACAGCAATGTACACATTATTTTGGATCGGGCCGTACGACCTCGGCATAAATCGTGCTTAATAATACTCGGAGCCTAATTATACTTGATATTATTTTATGGCTTGTGAGGTTTTGATTATTTATGACAGGAATTGACTTGGAAATTACTAAATGTGAAAGAATTATTCACCTATGCTTGTTATTGAGTTGTTATTATTAATTACATAACCCATGCTTATTTAGAATTTTTTGTATTATTATTGTTAGCCCATAGTAAGTGTCGATGTTGACCCCTCATCTCTAGCTCTTCGAGGTTAGACTTGATACTTACAGGGTACATGTTATTTATGTACTCGC